CCTTTCTCGAAGTCGATCCTGTAGCTGTATCCCGTTCTCAAATTCGCTCCTGTAGATGGAAACCTTTCTTGAAGATACCATGTACAGCCACTCCTAACTTGGAGTAAAAGACGCTGACCATCCAGTGTTCCTGGATTAGAAGGTTTTACAAGGTACAATCAGATGGGTCACAGCTTTTTTTTTTTAAATTAGGTTTAGCGAACTTGTTACTGATCCCCTTCTTCTTTTTCATTCTAAGTTGGAACTGGTAATGGCGGAGATTGCCAGCTACACTAACAGTAACAATTATCTTGTTGTTACATCAATGCATTACGACTTTGTTTTCTGGGAGGTCGGCAATTTATTTTGTTGAAATCCATATTTATTTTGTTTAAAATATATTTTCCAGGGATGATTAGCTCAGTTTGGTAAAACCTAGGAGGATGGGGGATAGTCTGATATCTTTGGTATTGGAAAGTTGGGCAGGTGAAGAGGAAGTGTTACATGTTTTACACCGTTTGTTTTTCCTTCTCCTTCCTCCTTCAATGTCTTCCTCTACTGGGTAGGACATATGGTCTCTCCATACTTCCTCCTTCAATGCCTTCCCCTACTGAGGGTGGGCCACATGGTTACTCGATATCTCTCTCCTTCAATGCCTTCCTCTACTGAGAGTGGGCCACATGGTTTCTTCTTATCTATCTCCTTCAATATCTTCCTCTACTGAGAGTGGGCCACATGGTCTCTTCTTATCTCTCTCCTTCAATATCTTCCTCTACTGAGGTTGAGCCACATGGTCTCTCCATATCTCCCTCCTTCAATGTCTTCCTCTAATGAGGGTGGACCACATGGTCTCTCCATACTTCCCGGTATTGGCTTTGCGCTTCAATAATTGGTGACTAATATTCGATAAAAATGATGTAGAGTTCATAATTTCTACAGAGCTAGGAGGTATATACATATTTATACAAGCATCTCCTGGTCATGTAAGTGAACGTTGAGGATAGATTATACCATTTATCCGAATAATTATCCCCTACACATTGGTTTATTCATCCCAAACATCTATGTATTTATATAAAATGAAAGGATTTAAGCATGAATGTTTCTTTTATACACAATAAAAACTTCAACAGTCCTTACTGCGATGAAAAAATATATACTGCGAGTGCTTAGCTCATCAGTAATGGATCCCCCCAGTGGTTTCGCTTATTTAATCCACCAGACCGCTTCTGAGCTAAGCCCTCCCAATATATTTTTCATAGTAGTAAGGACAGTAGAAGTTTGTATTGCATATAAAAGAAACATTCGTGCTTAAATCCTTCCATTTTATATGTATAAAAAAATTTAGTTTAACCTATGCATTTAGGAAGAGTGAAGATATACTTTATAGAATGAAGGAAAAGAGGTAGAACACAAGGAAGGATTAGTTAAACAATCGCAAAGAATGGTCTGTAATTAGAGTATACAAAGAGATAACGAGAATTACTTAGAACAAATTGAATTTCATACATTAAGCGCCATATAGGGGAAGATATTACAATATGATAAACAAAGAAAAATCAAGTTGTTCTGTAAGGGGACTCTCTCCTATGATATATATAGAGAGAGAGAGTAGGGTGGAATGAAATATGGCCTTCAAGGTTTCATTAGTTGGAAGAAAATTAATTTTTTCCTTTTTAGAATCATTACGGTAGGGGAGCCTACAATTTATTTAAAGTGCTGGGGGTGACTTGACTACTTCTGGACTTAATGATCTACGTCAGGACTCTACTTCTCATAGCGTGCTGCTCTACCACGTGCTGCCTACCTACTGTAGATTGATGTCTTTGATGTATATTTAAAATTTTAATTTATTTTGACCACTGACAAATTCACATAAATTCACTAATTTCAAAATAAGAGCCTCACATTAGATTTTTATACGTAATACTTTTCATATACACTAATTTCAATCACAATGTTACAGAATTCTCATTAAAATAAAAATATCAAAAGAAAAGATTGTAAAGTGTGCAATAGATACGGAATTCTTCCAGTAAAGATATACATGTAACCTGTGTACACTCCCTAATTCCTAGTATGGGTAGCCGATGTAGAGCCTGTCTATCAGTTAAAGGCGATCACACCCCATATTAACAACAATATCCAAGATATTTATGCACTGGCTGCATGAAAATCATTGCTTGACCGGCTAATTTTCATTAAAATACGTGTTAGATTTCTTTGATTTCGGGTATTTCAACCAATAATAGAATAATAAATATGTGTATGAAATTTGATTGATAAACGTTCAATAAAATTTGAGATAAATGAAAAAATAAAGATGTTGTTCCTTTTATTTTGCGGGCTAGTGTAAATCAGACGATACATGTAATATGCAATATTACGGACAGTTTGGGACTTCTCTGTACGTTCTAGAAGTTGGGGATACGGGAATTAAATATTATAATGAATATAAATGCAATATAAGAACATATATAATCTGTGCAAGAGTGTGGTGTTGCTCCATGGAATGGGGGGGGGGGGGGGGGGGGGGGGGGGCGCCAATTGCCCGTTATTCAGCCACATTTCCCTGTAAACCTTCACGGTTACCGTAGCGGCTCGGGGCTCACGACACCGTACTTCGCCCTACAGGACAGTCCCTTACTTGTGCTGCTTCTTCCACCCGCCACGTAGAGGAGGAGTTGGACTTCTGGGCAGGCGATGAGAGTGTTTACTACTGATATGAACCAGGCCCTCCAAATATTTTTTCATCGTACCAAGCACAGAAGGAAGTTGTTTTATATTTAAAAATGAATATTTATGCTCTAAAAGAGCTTCAATTCTAATTTGACTACTTACTGTCTACTTCCTGTATACTCCCTGCTCTACACATACTTAGCGAATTCATCATTTTATCATTTTTATCTTTTGTGCTAAATGTATTATTTATTCATCTATTTAAATATACACTAGAACCTCCCTGCAAAGTACACCTAATTACAGTTCCAAAGTTTCCTTTAGGGAGAGATGTTCTCTTACCAGAGAGTTACTAAATAGTAAACATGGTAATTTTGCAAATGAAAACTGTCTTTTATAGAGGGGTATTCTCTAGCGCGAATGTCCTCTCATGGAGGTTCTATTGTATATGATTTAATTCGCATGGTATAATGGTGAACGCTTAAGATTTCGAAAGAATTCATTGAAGATTCATCGAATTCTCTTTGAAAAATAGTAACAGAACTATCTACATTAATGCATTTTAATGAGAGAATTATACAATGGTTTTGACGGTTGGTCATTGAAGGAACATGTACCATGGTGAAAGGTTAAATCTAAAATTGATATTATATAGAAAAAAATAGCATGGTCCCCAAAAAAAAAAAAGGAAATCATGCTAAATCATGCTTATTTCAGAAAGAGACAATTTACAATTAATAAAATTTTATTGGCATCTTGTCCATATAAGGTCAGAATGTACAGTCCGCAGAGAGAAGAGAGAGATCAAAATATATATTAATATAGGCTTCTCAATAAACAAGAAAAATATACTAAAATATACATACACTCATGGACAAAACTTAAGGAAGTTGTACCTTTTAGCATTTATATCGGGATTCAGACAATAACTCTGAAAGATATTACAGTGGCCTTTATTGGAGATACACCAGATAACCAAGCGTGAACAAAATTTGCCTCCGTCTTCTTAAAAAAGAAAAATAAAAACGACCGCTAACATCAAGGACATTCCGCTTCCCTAAGTTTTTCCCATGAGGTATATGAACATATTATTAATGTGATATAATTTACAATTAAAACAACGTCCTACTGTTCTCTTCATACGATGGGAAAAAAATGATGATAAAGTCAGGCTGATCTGCAGAGAATTCTGCCAGCAGTTTCTCCAGTTTAATTGTTCTACATATTCCCCATTTTAACATACAAATAGCGTTCTAATATATTGTATTGATATCTATATAGACACAGTATAAAGATATATTTTAAAATTGAAATCAATAACCTTTTCCATAAGAGATCAAATTGATGAGCAATAACCTCAGTAAAATCTAAAATGACTTAACTTGTCATAGACAATCCTCCAATAAAAGACCACCTCTAAAAGCGGCCGGTAGTATACACGCCTTTAGATGGTCTCTCACGGGAGGTTCGATTGCACCTCTTCAATATAGTTTCATTCACCTACCGCATGAACAAATTCAATAATAGGATCAAAAATCTAAAAGAATTAGGTATTTTTAGGTCATAAACAAAACAATTTTATTATCAAGGAATCACTCCGAAATTTCTTTTTTTTTAATTTCATCGGGGGGAAAGTTAGCAGAATTAATGGTTGATCAACAAACTACTTTAGATTCTCACCAAGTCTTTCGATTGATTAATACTATCGATTTATCGAGGAGGTTATGAAGTATTCATGGAACTGGAAAATTCTCTCTTCGTATATGGAAGCTAGGGTATTTACATTATTCCCACTATGGATCCATCATCCGTGGTGTGGTGGTGTCTTGTCCATAACGACTGCTTTTACTGTAAGTGCACAACATGTATACACATGTGAAAAGAGGTTCGACTTCGCACTAACATATGTGCCAGAATCCCTTTGGTTTCTTACCCTTCTCTTAGCCAGTGTGGAACTTCCGAGGCGGGATTATTGCTAGTTGAAAACTTTACCCTTTGGTGTCTTACACTCGCTGGTATGGTTGGTCTTTAGCAAGATTCGGGGGCCATTGGAGCATTTTTTTTTTAATTATAAAAAAGTGCTTAATGCAGGATTCGATCCCGAGTCGTAGTTGTCGAAAACCAATGGTTTAGACCACCCTTCCACCGACCCCCCTTTACAGAATGGGAACAAGAAAGGTCCTAACTTTGACCGCGGTAAGGCGACACTCTGACTAAAAAATGGAGCCTGGGGATAGTTAAAGACAGCTATATTCACGGGTGAGTGAATTTCCTGATGGTTTTCAATTCTACAAGCTTGATACGCTAATATGATCGAATAAAGATAAGAAATAAGAAGATATGCCTGGGTAGCTCAGTCAGTAGAGCGTTAGTCTTTTAAGCTAACGTTCCGGGGTTCGAGTCCCTGCTCGGGCGTTTTTTTTTTTTTTAATTTATTATTATTATTTTTTTAATCGATGCCCAGAAACTATATTTTTGATGTGTTGAGTTCGCTAAAATCAAATGGTGCACGCGGGATAAATAAATTGTTGTTAGTTAAAGACAGTTGGAGGCAAAGATCGAGGCAGATACCGTCACACTTGAAAATCTCATTGCTCGAGCCGCACCAGCATTCCTTTTTCTAGGGCCATGGCCTTCCTTTTCACTTTTTAGATCTGGAAAGATTTTCAATTTTTAAGTTTATAAGGGGTACAGCTTTATTTATTATAATGGAATGGCATTAGGAACTTTGGACACGAAATCTATGTTATAAATATAGTAAAATTTTAAATTCTTCAGGTGTTTGAAATGGAGAATTCCGAATTTTGAATTATTTAGTTAAGTTTTCAATTTGAAAATATTGAACAAATGCTAAAGGTCTCTGGAGAGGAGTTTATTTAGCTTTAATAAACGTAGTCTCGAACTTTCGGGAATATCTGTCCCTCTACAGGAGTACATAACTACATATAAACGCCGCTAAGATGCAAACTAATTCAATATACAGTTACGAGCGTCATGCGTTCTTCATCTCTTAATTCTTCAGTTTTCATCTCTGTCACCGTTTGCTTTTTTTTGGAATGGCGCTCTCCTATTGGTTGGCTACGATCACGCCACCTCCCCCCCCACTCGCTTTTTCGTTTTTGTAACTATTATGTTGGAGCGGGTCGCTTCTTAAATAAATGCATATATTAGTTAATAACTAAATGGAATCCTCTCTTTCTTTTTCCCAGTAAGAGACGCCAACGGAAGCCAACAGTACATAGACAGATAAAGCACATAGGCTATAGTTATTAACTAATATATGCATTTATTTAAGGCGCCAATTTATAATTGTAACAAATAGTATTTGAATAAAAACATTCATTCGGGTAAAACACGGGCGTTGCCCGGGTCATTCGGCTAGTTTATATATACAAATCAGTATATAAATAAATCAGTTTAAAACGACCCCTGTCGCTATAATATCAAATATAAATCAGTTATTACTTTTACAAAATAACTATATTAGGTACAGCTCAAAAAGAGAAACCTAGCTTGTGTTATTTACAATGACTATTATGAACAGGTTCTTCACATTTAAAAGTGTACAATACGGGATTTGATTCCGGTTAATGGCTATTGGGAATTGAGGGTTTTAACTGTCCACCGACTCTATTAATCAGTTGGCATTTTAACGGCATTTATATGTTTCTATGTACTCCTGTATAAGGACAGAGATTCCCGAAAGCTTGAGATTACGTTTAATAAAGATAAAGTAACTAATCTAAAGAAACCTGTAGCATTTGTCTAAATAACATCAAAGAATTCGAATTTGAAAATATTTCAAAATCAACTTTGAAATCAAATCTCATTTCGATTTTGTTCTTATTTTCTTTTTTTTTTTAAACGAAAATGACCATAGAAAAAGTATTGAACATTTAAGAGTTTCCTCTAATTGATTTAAATGTGATAATTATTTGTAAGAATCATTAAGAAATAGTTTTGTGACGAAAGAACGTTTAACATAATTATCTGATTTTGTGAATATTTCTCAAACAATTAACAATATTGATTAGAAAATTAACAGAAAAAAAAAATAATTGAGAAAATATATTGAACATTTTTAATGGAGAGGAAGAGAAAAAAATTATATTGGAAAAATAAAATTTTCAAAACCTTATCGAGAAGTAATTTTAATTGTAATTTTTTATATCTAAAAGTTTCAAAAAATCAATATATATTTGATAACTTTTAAATTCAATTACCACGTAGGAGAGAATATTGAAAAGGGGTAGTGTATAACTTATAGTTTTTTTTTTCAATTTTTATAAACTATAACTTGATAGTATTTCGATAATTTCTGGATCGAACTAAAGTGAAATTGGTTTCAAACTGACATGGTGCTAAAATCAACATAAAATGGTATGAAAACATATATGTATACAGGTGAAATTGGTAAAGGATCTATACAGATAAGCTGGAGCCCAGAGTAAGGACATGCTAGACAATTTCAACAATCATATTAACACTTCTAATCAATTGTTACTGAAATTATTATGATAAAGAAAGGTTAATATAACGAGCAAAACACACAGCTTTATTAAGAATACCGGTTTTATACAGATTCACCACAGGAAGAAAGGAAGCATAGATGGAGCTCCTGTACAGCACAGAACCCAACAGTAGCCTACAGTTTATAAGTAGTAATATACAGTATTATAAAGAGGTATATTTATTTTTTTATTTCAATTCAAAACGCTATGTCCCCCTAGGGACACTTGCGCTAAATGTACATACAAATATAACAAAGAAAATATTCAACATGGAAAGATACACACACAGAAAGTAACTTAGAAAGATTCATAAATATTATTTACATATAGAGATATTCTTTGAATTTTATTTACAGTTACATCATTAAATTTAAAATATATACACACATATACACCTATATATTGTTTACAACCCCAAGATATGTCCAATATTTCCTTGAGATCGTTACATCAAAGACCATTTTTCTTAATGAAGTCCAAAATATATTTACAAAGGAAATTAAATTTTATATATGTGTCCTTATTTGAAATTGAATCACTAGGGCCTAAAGCTATTAAATCGTTGTTGACTCTGTAATCTTGAAAGACAGGGCACTCTAGCAAGAGATGTATTGAAGTTTGTTCCCCTAATCCACAGAAACATGTCGAATCTTGCACAGCCTGAATTTTCTTAAGAAAAAACCTGAAATTTCCATGATCTGTGATAAATTGTGAATCATAATAGTTTGTAATATATAAAGTAGATAAAATGTAGGAAAATATAAACAGTTATTAAAAATAAAAAGACATATCCTGACCGCGCCCACATGAACATTTTAGATTGAAGTGCCATCTAGTGGAACAAAATTTTATTATTATTACATTAACAGCGTATTTACACAAATCTATCCTTAAATACCCATTTCTTTATCAGGAAGCCTCTGAGAACAAAATTTGGTCGTAGAGGTACAGTCTACACCACACTGACGAGGGCCAACATCCTTAAACGCGTACGTGGTTCTTGATTTATCAATAAATTGGGTTGGGCGAATATCACGGAACAAGTTAAATAAACTTTTAGTTTATTTTTGTTCTACTAGATGGCGCTCTGACTTCTTAAATGCTCATGTGAGAGCGGTCAGGATATGCCTTTTTTTTAATTCAACACCTGACCTTTTTTATATTTTATTTGTTTATTTTTTATCACATATAGAGTTATACTAGCCGAATGACCCGGGCAACGCCCGTGTTTTACCCGACGGTAGATGTTACAACGGTGATCCTTAGGTCGCTGGTTCAAATCCGGCTCGAGGGAGCCGGCGAGCACGTGACCTCCCTGTGCGCGCGCATCCGTGACAGAGGCGGCCGGCCGATGAGGAAAGACGGTCGTGACTATATATATTAATATATGCACAAATTTATTTAGCAAAGAAGGTTTCCTTACATTGAGAGAGTTTTCCTGCAGACAAGGTGGGATCTTCTTGGACCCTTCTCAGTTCCATGCTGAATAAGTACTTATAGATACTCTTCACTTGCCCAACCTTCCAATACCAAAGATTCCAGACAGCCACTTTCCTCGGTATCACCAACATATGTCCAGCATCCCTAGAAAATCTCCCAAGAAAGAAATCTGCCTGGCGACACCTCATTAATTGGACTACCACTGGCATTGTATATAAATCCAAGAAGACTTAGGTCAGAAGGACATCCCGGGGAGTTGGCAACTTCTGTACGCTCCAGGAACCTGGGTTACTTAAATAAATAATAATAATACTTATAGATGCGGGTCTTGGCAGACGCCAGGATGGCCAGGGCGTCGTCATCCAGGCCATTCGAGAAGAAACAGCCCGGCTGGATGAGGACATACTCGATGTAGATAAACATTAGAAGATGCAAAATTCTGGGAGAAATTTCATCGTTTACACTAAAGAATGAGAGAGAGAGAGAGAGAGATATCTGACAATTATTTCCCAGTTATCCAAATGACTGAGAGCTCTGTCTGGGAATCTAGGGCTATGTTACCTGCAGGAGGGGAGAGAATTGCATCAACCAACGAGAATTGACGAGGCCTTACTGAGATTGTACGGAAATGTCTCTCTATTATACATTTTTTCGCATGGTTCAATTATCAAATTATTTATTCTATTACATATTCTGAAAAATATAGAAAATACTATTATTAGATTCGAATAAAAATAATACATTGTGTATATTATATATGTAATATGGTGCAATTGTTGTTACACTATAATATTTGTTGTATTACACTGTTGTAGAATCCTGTCGACTTAACCTTTCTGTGGCAATATCGTTGCGGAATTTCTTGTTGTTCGATTTGAATGGTGAGGATTGGTTGAAGCGCAGTCGTTGAGTGGTAAGTGAAGCACACAGTTAGGAATAATCAGGACACGTGATTGTTTTGAAAATAAAAGGCAACTGGGTTGGAGGGAAGAAAGCTTGAGAAGAGTTGAGCGATTTGACTTATTAATTAGTTGATCACATGGCGATGATGGGATTTAGATGAAATGAGCGGAGAGAGAGAGATCTCTAGAGTAGATGTTACCTTGTTGGAAGCGAAGGAGCAACTGTCCGAACTCGGCGAGAGCCACTGAACAACTGTAGGTGTTGTTCCTATGAGAGCGAAAACGTTACTAACCATTCTTGCTTTCCGATTTAACACCAAGACTCAGTTTCTCTCTGATTGGTTGAGAGATGATCACCTGATCTTTCCCTATTGGTTGACCTATTTAGATGCTATCTTCTGATTGGCCGGCGGCTTCCTTTGGTGTTAGTTACGCCCGGCCTGGGTCAGGAAGTGTCGTGTTTGTTCGACTCTATTTACTTCCGCGGCTATCAAAATACGTCCGGTTCTGTCAGGAAGCATTGGGTGTCTCTCGATTAATATAACTTCTGCGGATACTAGAT